AATTCAAGGGGCCTTCAGTTTATTCTTGTTGGCTCCCCCTTCTCGTTAGATTGGTCTCTCTGTGGGGATCTTCATCCCCTTCTCTCCACTGTCCACCTTTTGGGGATTCTCTCCCATGACCAGGGTCCAGAAGAGGCCACCACTGCCATGTGAGTCCAGCCCGTCTTGGCAAGAAGGAGCCTGGGGAGAGCACACCGACGGGAGGTGAGCAGGAGAAGCTAGCCTTTCCCTGCCTCCTGCCAGCTCCTTGAAAAGACTGGTCTATTCCTCCTCCTCCTTCCCTTTGGGAAACTGGGGGCAGGACAGGCATGTGAGAGTCAGAACTGCTGTTGTTCCGCCTTTCAGGAAAGGGAGTAGAGAGAAGGGTGATGATTATTTTGGCAGTCTCTTACCCTCCCTCCAGTTGCTTTTTGGTTTGTTGTTGATGCCTGCAGGCTTTTCTGAGGAGGTGGGGGCAGGGGGGAAGCAGGAGGGAGAGGAGGAGGAGTACAAGCTGCTAGGACATCATCCACAACAGGCAGGAAGAGCAATGAGCAGGAACCCACATTCCTACGGGGCCTTGGCCATCGTGCTGCTCAGACAGCTGGGAGAGAGAGGCAGCAGCTAGTTCAGACTCCTCTCTATTGCTCTCCACCTGGGGAGGAGAAAGAGTGCAATACTCCACAGCCTTCTGGCAGCGTAGGCACCTGTCCAGCCCAAAGAACAAGCCTCACCTCTCCCCCCTCACTGGTCTCACCTTCCACTGGGGAGATGCTTTCTCCCATCCAGTCCTTGGGGCAGGACGAGCAACCCCTCCTCCCTTTCACAAGCAGGAGGGACAGGAATGGATATTTCTCTCTTAGACACTCAAGGAAATCCTCAGAGAACCCCATCCAGCTGTGAACCCTGCCACATTCTTCTGTGGCCTGCTGAAAACATGTGTCCGAGCCCCTGTACATACAAGGACCATCTCTCCATCCCATCCACCATGCATGTCTCAACACGCACCCCCCGCTTCATACGCATCCTACAGTGAGAGAGAAGGCGAAACAGGGGCCTTTCTTTGGGTTTGAAAGGAGGGGCTCTTGCACGAGGAAGTGATCCCAGCACAGAAAAGGGGCTCTTGCACAAGGAAGCATCCTCCTACCAGGCAGGCTGTTGCACAGAAGGAGCACCCCCTTGAGACAGGCTGTTGTTCAAGGGGCTGCCATGAACAGGGTTACACGGCCAGAAGAGGCTGTTGCAGGAGGAGAGGCCGGAGACTGTTGCACGAGGAGGGCCGCTGCACAAGCGGTGCCCCTGGGCGCAGGCTATGCACAAGAGGCTTTCTGCTCCCTGGGTTGAGGTCTGTCTAGGAGCTGGAGAGGTGCTCCACTTGGATGGCGCTGGTGCTGACAGTGAGGCAGATGTCCTTGTGATGCTCTGATGTCTTGTAAGGAGTCAGGTCAAAGGAGCACTGGGGGGGAGGGTTGGGTTGGTTAGTGTCTCCAGAAGGGCCCCCTGCTGCCCCCCCGCCCTGCGGCTGGAAGTGCTGCTGCTGCTGAGAGGCCTGGGCTTGCGCCTGAACCACCTGCTGCTGTGGGTCAGGGATGTTGTGTTTCCGCATGTGCTTCATCAGGTACGTCTCCTGCAACAGGAAGAATGGCGTGAGAGGAGAGGATGATGTTCGCAAAAGCCAATAGGGAGGGACACAACAGCTCAGGGGGACCTCCCGTTGGATTTGGAGGAACTACTCCCTAGGAAGTGTGTCCACTTCTGCTACCCCCCAGGGCAGCAAACACTCACCGAGGTGTAGGCTCGGCTGCAGATGGAGCAGGTGTAGACCTTGGCGTGTTTCACCGTGTGTGTAGCCAGGTGTACCTCCAACGAGGCAGCATCCGTGTACGCACGGTGGCAGTTGTGGCACTTGAAAGGTTTGTCTTTGTTGTGCTGCCGTCTGTGGGACTGTGGGGCGGCAGCGGGGTGGAGGAAAGAGAAAGCAAGTGCAGGGAAGGAAGCGAGTATTAGTACCAGAGAAGGCTTTACCTCTGACACCCCTTTCCAGCCAGGCCCCAAGCTCCCCAGGTCCCAGCCTGCTGAGGGAGGTACACCTGGCTCCTAGCACAGGGGACAGAGCTTCTCCCTCCAGCCCACCACATCTTCCCCATAGATGCCTTTTCTCAGGCATACTAGGCATCTGAAGAGCAGAGCCTCTTAACCCTCTATGACCCCCATCTTCTCAGTCTCCACGCAACTCTCACACTTCTCCTTTTCTCTCCTCTTCTGCTTCTACACATTTGCTCCCCACAACTGTCACTGCCCTTCACGGCAGGATCTGATTTAACTGCTCACAGGCATTTACAGCTCTTTGTCATTTGGCGCACCCTACAGTTCCCCTCCTCTACGATACTGCCAACACGATGCACGCAACACCTCTGCTTCCCTAAATCCCTACTCTTATGCTCTCCATTTCGTTGCAAACCAAACAAAAACCCAACAATTGGATACCCAGATTTTATTCTCTGTGACATTCAGCAAGAGTCTTGCCCCAGCTAAGTTAGAAAACTCTACAGAACAGACAGGAGGAACTTTACCAAGGTCTCACCGCCTTCAAGTCAAGTTTACAACTTTACAAGATGCAACTGTTTATGTGACTTCCTTGGGTCATTGGTGCCACAAAAGCCAAGAATCTCTCTCCCACCCAGTGCTTCAACAGCTTTTCTGTATTCTTTCACTCTTCTCCCAGCTGCCCCAATTTCTCTATCTCCTCCACCACAGGCAAGTAGCCTCCCCTCCCACGTGCCAGCTGCCCTTGCCAGCCCCACTGGTGAGCAGGACAAGCCCAGGCCCTTACCTGCAGGTTGGAAAGCTGGGTGAAAGCCTTTTCACACCCAGGGTGAGCGCATTTGTAGGGTCGGTCCCCGGTGTGGATACTGTTGGAGGGGAAGAGCACAAATGGGAGGCAGTGAGCAGGCAGGCAGGGCAGACTGCCAGGGCCTGATGCTGTGATCAAATCTCACAGGCACTCAGGAGAGTAGGGAAGAGGATGATGTTGCCTCCAGGATGCTGTTCTATCTGGACAAAGAGAGCTCTGCCCAGCTCCTGTGTCCAGCTAGAAGTTAGAAAAGATAGGCAGTAAAGATTTCAGAGAGTGACTAGGACTGAGGAACAAGAGCTTATGAATGCCTGGCCAGCTCAGCATGTGGGCAACCTGAAAACAGGTTGGGAAGGGGTCTGGAGGTCCAGGCTCCCTGCTCCAACCTCAGGAGTCCCATACGACCAAGAGGAGTCTATTCTCTTGCTTCCACAGTACCAAGAAAGCAGCTCTGTTCCTTCTCAGGATAGACACTCCAACACTTTTCCCTTGACATTATCAGGCTTAGATCACCTCCAGTGTTCATCTGTCCCTGTCCCCTTGCAATGCCAGGAGAAGCTTCCACACACTCAGTCCAACCCCCATGGTGCCAGGCTGGGATCCCCTACGGCCAATGCCTCGCTCTCTCTCTCTCTATCGCTCGCTCTCTCTGTGCCCCCCGCGGTGCAAGACCAAGGATCCCCAGGGACAGCACGTGCCCACCTCAGCCCTGACGTGGTCAGTGTCTCCTGCGCAGCCTCCACTCCGTCCACTCTGGTGGGTCACCTCCTTCTGAGGGCGCAGCCGGCCGCATTCCCCGCCCGCCCCCCGCATGCTTGGCGCGCGTGCTCCACAGGTGCATGCCGGCAGCGCGGGGGGGCCAGGGCCAGGCCCCCAGCCTCCTCTGGCCCTTACCGTGT